TTTTTTTGAGACAGGGTCTCACTATGCAGTTCAGGCTGGCCTTGAGTTCACTTTGTAGCTCAGGCTGGTCTTGAACTCACAACGATCCTCCTGTCTCAGCCTCCCGAGTGCTGGGATTGTAGGCATGTGCCACCATGCCCAGCATACAAGCACATTTGTTTTTTCAGATAGGCCTCTGTTGTAAAAGATTGCTGGTGTTGATCATGAATGCTTTTTTCATCATCAAATTAGTGCATCAATTATGCATCTTTTCTGACATTTTGTTATGAAAACTTTTCAGTTGAATTTTGGATTTTGTTGAATTTTGTTGTGTGCCCACACATCACCCACTGTAGCATTTTGCTCCTCAGCGGCATCTCTTTTTTTTTTTTTGTCTTTCTTGAGACAGTCTCGCTCTGCAGTTCAGGCTGGCCTTGAGCTCACTTTGTAGCCTGGGTTGGTCTCGAACTTGCAACAATCCTCCTGCTGCAGCCTCCCGAGTGCTGGGATTACAGGCGTGCACCACCATGCCTGGCTAACTCTTGTTTTTTTTTCTGGTACTGGGAAGTACTGGGAATTGAACTCAAGACCTTGCGCTTGCCAGGCAGGCGCTGTGTTGCTGAACTAAATCCCCAACCCCCTCTCCCTTTTTTTTTGTACCAGGAATTGAACTCAGGACCTTGCGCTTGCCAGGCAGGCACTTGTGCCACTGAGCTAAATCCCTGGCTCAGCGGCATCTCTCCCCATCTGTTGTAGACCTTACAATAGGGTGTAGGAAACAACCCATGGAGCTGAGCTGAAGATTTTGAAAGGTTGTATCTCTAGTTACTCACTTTCCTGCTGCCAAGTGTCAATTTTATTTTGCTTTTATAATTTCTATGTGGAAATTTGTATTTTAAAATTGTACCTGTTGTGGGCTGGGGATTTAGCTCAGCGGCAAAAGCACCTGCCTGGCAAGCGCGAGGTCGTGAGTTCGGTTCCTGGTACCGGAGAAAAACCAAAAAAAATTAAAAAAAAAAAAAATTAAAAAAAAAAAAAATTGTACCTGTTGGGCTGAGACTAACTGTGTGGTAGAACACTTGGCTGGCATGTATGAGGCCCTGGGTTTGATCTCTAGCATCATAATAAACAAATAAATAATTTAAAAATTGTATAGTTTTTGTTGTTTTGGTTTTTTTTGAGGTAGGGTCTTGCTGTGCAGTTTAGGCTGGCCGTGAGCTTACTTTGTAACACAGGCTGGTCTTGAACTTGCAAAGATCCTCCTGCCTCAGCCTCCTGAGTGTTGGGAGTATAGGCATGCGCCACCACGCCCGGCTCATTTGTGTTTTTACATAATATAAATATAGTAGCAGCTGGGCCTGGGGATGAACGCTTGTAACCCTCAGTACTATGGGAATGAGGCAGTAAAATCAAAAGTTCAAATCCAGCCTTGGCAATTTTTTTTTTTTTTGTCTTTTTTGAGACAGGGTCTTACTGTGCAGTTCAGGCTGGCCTTGAGCTCACTTTGTAGCCCAGGCTGGCCTCGAACTCACAATGATCCTCCTGCCTCAGACTCCTGAGTACTAGGATTACAGGTGTGTGGCACCATGCCCGGGAGCCTTGGCAATTTTGCAACTTAGCAGGACCTTGTCTCAACAATATAATAATAATAATAGTAAGAATAATGACAATATAAAAGGTTGGGGATGTAGCTCAGTGTGATGGCCTTGGTTCAGTCCCTAGTACCACACAAAAAAGTATAATGCAATGTAAAGGAAGAAAAGTGTAAATAACTGTAGCTATTCAAAACTGTTTTTTGTTTTTGTTTTTGTTTTTTTCAAAACTGTTGTGTTTTCAGGACCTGCTCCAGGACACTCATGGCAGTTTCCTGTATTTGGGTACAGTGATCACTTTTCGGAATGTGCTTCTGAACTTAAAAAACAAACATCCAGTGTTTTGCTCATAGCATGATGTATACAAAAGGATACTTTATTTTTGCTTATTGAGGTTTTTTTTTGATTCATTTATTTTTGTAGTATTGGGGATTGAACACAGGGCCTTGCTTGTCTAGGTAAGCGCTTTACCACTAAGCTATGTCCCAGATCTTTTTTATTTATTTTGAGACAGAGTCTCACAATGTTGTCTGGATTGGCCTTCAGCTCCTGCCTCAACCTCTCAGCTGGGGTTTCAGGCCTGTACCCCTGCTGCTGGCTTTTTCTTTTTAAGAGCTGGAAAAAGTTTTATTGGACTAAAGGATTTGTAGCGGGTACTGAGCACTTGGCCAAGGTGTCATGGACCATGCTGAATGCACCCTCTCGAGTGTGGTACCCACCAATGAAGTCACTGGCATGGACAAACATGCGTCCAGGGAGTCCACTGACCTGGTGCAGAGCTTCTTCCCAAAGTCCCTGCCCTGGCTCTACAAGGAACCCGTGGGCACACTGCATCCACACTGTCCAGCCTCGTCAGTGTAGGTAACAAAAGCAGTGGTGTGTGTAGGGGGCACAGCCCAGACTGCAGGTGGTACAGATGCTTCTTCCAGGGACATCTGCTATTTTTTTTGCCAGTTCCACTATCTTGCCACTTGGATTCATCTAGAATTGCTGGGCTAAGGCCTCTTCCACCAAGACCCTGGCTGAGAGTCAGCCATGCTGGTAGCAATCAAGTCTCTGCGGAAAATGGATCTGAGCCAGATCCATTGCATGCCTGGAACCTGTTTCGGTGTCTTGGTTGGGCTGGTTCCAGGTAGAATTAAGTCAAGCAATTTAGGAACTCAGATTAGTGGTTAGAGCATATCAAGGCTTCCCCTCCCACTGGGAAGTCCGATTGTGCCCTGCGGCTGTCTTGTCCATGAAGTTCTCAAATATCTTGTCATAGAGTGTCCACCATGCTGTCCTTCACCGGGGCCCAGCAACTGCACCAGCAGCTTGTGCCTGAAGTGCAGATGGATGAGACCTTCACAGCTCATCTTGGTCTGCCGCAGCTTCCCAGGGGACAGTGAAATTATGGTCTCCATGAAAGACCTCTGGTGACAGTCGTATTGGTGTCTCTGAGGGACACCAATGTCTACCACAGTGTCGCTTGAAGTCAGTTTTTCCGATCCTGAGTCTGCACAATCTCTGGATCCTGGTACCCTGGCACAGGCGAGCACTGTGCACGCCAGAGCCTCCTCATCGCGGAAGGTGCTGTTGTGGGTCCCGGTTTGAGATGGTGCCTTGAGGTTGCTCTGCACAGGGCCCTTTGTGGGGGTGGGACAGACTCTGGACTGAACATGCGTGTCAGGTTGGGAGTGATGACCACAGCAGCAGCAGCGTCAAGAAACCACAGAGGAGGTGGGAGCACCTTGCACCTGGCTTTTTTTTTTTTTGGTGGTGCTGGGGATTGAACCCAGGGCCTTGTGCATGCAAGGCAAGAGCTCTACCACTGAGCCACATCTCCAGCCCCTGCAGCTGGCTTTTAAAGCACACTGCAGAGTAAGAGGACCGTGTGGACTGGGCATGAGCCTGTGGCCAGCCTCATTAGATGTCTTTGGATATCTGCAGGAAAGCCCATGAAGTTGAGCCTGGCAGCTGAGGAGGTCGCCACTTTTTATGGGAAAATGTTGGATCGTGAATATACAACAAAGGAAGTTTTCCAGAATAACTTCTTCAATGACTGGCGGAAGGTATGCATCACCGGTGGCTATGGTGGCTGGCCGGGTCCCCCAGGGGCCACAGTACCAATCTTGCTGCCATCTCTGCAGCTGTCCAGGTAGCAATACCTGCCATGTTTGCCCAGTGTGACCTGCACCGAGGCAGGCAAAGGGAGCAGAACCACATCTGCTGTGACCTTTCCTCAGGGCAACTTGAGGCCAGAGTCCAGCTCTCAGAAGAGGGAGATTGGAGGAGGCCAGAAAGGGCAGTTTCTTCCCCCAGAAAATAAGCACTTGGTATGAAGATGAAGGTGGTATTAAGTATCTGTCTTCTCCTTTTTATTTCATTTTTTGACTTGATAGGGAATTGAACCATGTGTGAGGCAAGCACCATTCCACTGAATTACATTCCAGAACTCTTTGCTTATCTAAAAGAACCTGAGTTACATGTGAGCCTGGCCTAATCTCCATGTCCATCCCAGCTGGGTTTCTTGTGTGTCCTCTGGCAAGAATCCCTGTACTCTCTCCAGGGTTTCTTTCAGTACCTGTGCTTGTCCCTGTGCTGCTGTATATGAAGCATCTTCTTCATAAGTCTGTTGTATGAAGGAATACTGTTCACTTGTCCCTGTCCACATTTATCACACCAGGTCATTTCCAGTTTTGGCCATTGTGTTTAAAGCTGCTGTGAACATCCCCAAGGACACCTGCACGATCCCCCTCCCAGACCTGGGTCACAAAGCTCACACATGAGGCCACTTACTGGAAACTACCAGGTTGGGCTGGCTACATGCCTACCACATGTACAAAGGCCCGTGTGGTCTGTGATGGGCTGCTGCCGCGTCCTGCTGTGGTTGTTGTCATTTGCGTTTCCCTGATTGCAGTAATACCTAGACTTTTTTGTGTGTCTGTTTGTCCCTTAGACATTCTCTTCTGTGAACTTTTGTCCATTTAAAAAAAATTGAGCCACTTCCCTATTGTTTCCTAACTTACAGGAACTTTTTAAAAAAATTCTTTTTTTTTTTGTCTTTTTGAGACAGGGTCTCGCTCGGCAGTTCAGACTGGCCTTGAGCTCACTTTGTGGCCCAGGCTGGTCTCAAACTCACAACGATCCTCTTGCCCCAGCCTTCCGAGTGCTGGGATTACAGGCATGCACCATCACACCTGGCCACCCAGCTTGTGGTTTGAATGTTTGTCCTTTTAAAAATTCCTATTGGAAAAAAAAAAAAAATTCCTATTGGAACTGAATTGCCCGTGCAACAGTATTAAGCAGTGAGGTCTCTAGGAGATGTGTATACTGGGTGGGCTCTGCCCTACTGGGTGGAATTCATGCCTGATGAAGGTCTGGAGGGAACTTGCCAGGCCTTTATGCCCAGTGTCTCTCCTGCTGTGTGAGGACCCAGTGTCCATTGTGCCACTAAGATGCTCGAGCCATGACTTGCATATGCTAGGCCTGGCCTTCCCAGCCTCTAGAACCATGAGAAATACATTTCTAGTACTTTTTTTTTTTTTTTTTCATTTCTATTACTTTAAAATTACCCAGTCTCAGTTTATTAAAGCACCACACATGGACTAAGACATTTTTTTTTATTAGTTTCTTAATATTCCATTGAATGAATTTGCTATAATTTATTAGTGCTTTCTGGATGATTTCTTTCTCTAATTGTCTTTAACGCTGTAATTATCATTACAGTGGTATTGGATAATTTATTTAGGATAAGATCTCAGAATAACTAGGTCAGAAGTTTTAGCCATTTTTGTTAGTGAAATATTGCAGAATTGCTTTTGGAGGCTTATGTTCTCAGCCACCCCACCGAATCCCACCCCTGCATTCACAAAAGGGAGAGGGGCGCAGTAATAGACAGACTCCATTGTGCCGAGGCCCTGAGGTCTGATGGGGGCAGTGGTATTTGTTATTGGGGTCTGTGAGTGGGCTCGGATCTGTTAGGGGCTCTCTCTCTCTCTCTCTCTCTCTCTCTCTCTCTCTTTTTCTTGGGGTTTCTTGAGACAGGGTCTCATGAGGTACTTTGGGCTGGCTTTGAAGTCACTATGTAGCCCAGACTGACCTCGAAATGGTGGCAGTTCTCCTGCCTCAGCCTACCAAGTACTGGGATTATAGGCGTGCACCACCATGCCCAGGTCTAGAAGGGTCTTTTGTATGTGGAGTGTGGTGTGGGGTACAATTATCCTTGCCAGAGGGAGGGTGTGCTGCTTGTGATGTCAGAGTCATTTCCTGTAGGAGCCAGGCTCAGAGGATGCATGCAGGGTCTTTGAATCTGCAGACCTGTGCTGAGGACACATCCTGTTCCCTAACGGTTCCTGTCAGTTCTGAGCGCTCTATATGTGTGAGCACCCGAGCTTCACATGGGCGCCGGGGTATGGTGCCGTTCCTAGGCAAGGCCATGTGGCTTGTTCAGAGCACTCCTGGGAGGAAGCACTAGGACGTCAACTCACCACTCTTTACCTGAGCCCATGGCCTGGCTGGTGGCAGAGGATGATAGTTGGCTGCCCTGGCCTTGGTACTGGGTCCGCAGTCCAACACCCCGCTTCTGTGATGTCATGGAGCCTTGTGGAATGGGCTCCTGGCCTGGGGCTCCCCAGGCACAGCAGCTTGCCTGCATGACATCTGCTGAGAGCACATGCTTCTGTTTTGGTACAGGAAATGACAGTAGAGGAGAGATGCCTCATCAAGCACCTGGACAAGTGTGACTTCACGGAGATCCACAGGCACTTCGTGGAGAAAGCTGCAGCCTGGCGAGCCCTCCCCAGGGAGGAGAAGCAGGTTGGAGCACCGTGCAGAGTGGAAGTGGCCGGTGGGCGTGAGTGTAACCAGGGCAAATCCGGGCACAAGGCCTCAGGGAAGCCCCTAAAAAGCTTCCCTGGATGAGTGGCCCTTGGAAGATGTGACCAGGCCTAAGCCCTGTTCCAACAAGTTCTGGACACTTTGGAGTTAGACACTTTTATTTTTTTTGGCTTTTTCTCCGGGACCAGGAACCGAACTCACGACCTTGCGCTTGCCAGGCAGGCGCTTTTGCCGCTGAGCTAAATCCCCAGCCCGACACTTTTAAATATGCTCAAAAATAGGTCCATTGTCCCAGAGCGTGCTTGAACATATATGCAGTGTTCGAAATGTCCCGAGCAGTGTGGACTAGGGCAAGACTTTGAAGCGTGGTTGGTTTTAGGACGTTGTGCATGCCAGGCAGGTGCTTGTGCCACTGAGCTATATCCCCAGCCCAGAAACCTGTTATTTCTTACATTTCAACTTTGCAGGCCCTCCTGGGGAAGGGTCATCCCTGTCTTCAGCCAGTGGTTGCAGGGGATTCAGGTTTATTCTAGAACCTGCCTAGCTTTCCTCTCTCTGTGAAGACACCTGCTGTCTGTGGGGTGTGTGAGTGGTTTAGCTTCAGGGAAGGAGGGGCAGGTCCTGGGTTAGCACAGGGAACTTACATATGAGTCCTGTATTTGCTACTAATGTCCATGTATGCTTTTATTAACTCAGAAGCTAAAAGAAGAGGCAGAAAAACTTAAGCAAGAGTTTGGCTACTGTACTGTAGATGGCCACCGGGAAAAGATAGGCAATTTCAAGACAGAGCCGCCTGGGCTGTTTTGTGGCCGTGGTGACCATCCCAAGATGGGGATGCTGAAGAGGAGAATCAGGCCGGAGGATGTGGTCATCAACTGCAGCAGGTGTGCAGAGCAGGCTGCCAGGCTGAGCCGGGGGTGTGCGCTGGGCCTGGGCTGGGTTGAATCTGTTCGTGCCGGACTCTGGCCACCTGGTGAGGTGATCTTTGTCCTTCAGCTCTTCTGGGACAAGGGCATGTCATATGATACGCAGCTGGTAACTCCATGCACTGTTCCCATGTATCACAGTACCTGTGGGGCTCCGAGGGCTACGGGGGTGGCAGGCAGTGCCTGACTGTGAGCAGGGCTGCTCTGCGCTGTGAGAGTTCTCTGTGTTTTGCTGGGTTGAGATTTTTCCCAGCTAGGAATTTTCTTACACATTTTGGACACTTTGCCGGGTGTGGTGGCGCATGCCTATAATCCTAGCACTCAGGAGGCTGAGGCAGGAGGATCCTTTTGAGTTTGAGGCCAGCCTGGGCTACAAAGGGAGCTCAAGGCCAGCCTGAACTGCATAGTGAGACCCTGTCTCAAAAAGACAAAAAACTAAACAAAACATTTTCAACACTTTTTTTCACAATCAGATTATGCACATAGTTTAATAGTGGGTCAGGATTTGAACTCTTGGCAAGAATTCTGCTGGTGCTGTGTGACTTGTTACTGAAGGCCATGTAAATGGGGTGCCTGGCCACATCTTACCTGGGCAGCCCCAGGTGGCCATGCTGGCGCAGCACAGCTGTGTGGTCTGTGAATCTGAGTAGCAGAGCTGGTGCCTTTGCTGGGTGGCACTCAGTTCCTGGCCCGACCCTGGTCTTTATGTGCACACGGAGCGTGGGCTGGGCAGCTGGTTTGGTCATGGCAGTTGGAAGGCCCTGCCTCTGGTTGTAGCTGTTGGCCACAGTGTGGGACAGCTGCCTAGGGATGCTTGCTTTTCTCGCATTTCAGAGAACAAAGGCTCTAAATGATGCTTGGGTAACTGTTTTACTCCAGGGACTCAAAGATCCCTGAGCCCCCAGCAGGTCATCAGTGGAAAGAAGTACGCTCGGATAACACAGTCACATGGCTGGCGGCATGGACAGAGAATGTCCAGAATTCCATCAAGTACATCACACTGAACCCCAGCTCCAAGCTGAAGGTGAGGACATGTGGCCTTCCAGGAAGGTCCTCTCAGAGTGCCAGTGGGCCCCTCCCCCGTGCTGTACCAGTAAGGCGGTATGGGAGATGCCCCAATTTTCTAGTTCTTTAGCCAGGCAGGGTGGCGCGTGTCTGTAATCTCGGCACTTGGGAGGCTGAGGCAGGAGGATCTTTGCAAGTTCCAGACCAACCTGGGTTACAAAGTGAGCTCAAGGCCAGCCTGAACTGCATAACGAGACCGTGTCTCAAAAAGACAAAAGCAAAACAAAACAAAAACTTGCAGTTCAGCCTTTTGAGCCCATTGTTTCACAGGAACATCGAGAGTTTCCTTCACTGTTACTCTTTGCACTCAGGGGGAAAAAGATTGGCAGAAGTACGAAACAGCTCGACGCCTGAAAGGGGTTGTAGATGAGATCCGCTCTCAATATTGGACCGACTGGAAGTCTCGGGAAATGAAGACAAGACAGCGGGGGGTGGCTCTTTATTTCATCGATAAGGTATAGGTTGGTGTGGGGACCTCATTGGCCAGGCAGGGGTGATGGCAGCCTCTGTCTAGAGATGGAGCCTCGTGCAGATAGAGGGGTATGCAGGTGTGCCTATGTGTGTGTGCATGCATACAAGCTTGTGTGTGTGTGTGTGTGTGTGTGTGTGTGTGTGTGCACATACACGTGTGCACGCATGCGCACCCTGACTGGTCTCCACCCTGGTCCAGTTGGCGCTGAGAACTGGAAACGAGAAGGAGGAGGGTGAAACAGCTGACACGGTGGGCTGCTGCTCTCTCCGCATGGAGCATGTCCGACTACACATGCACGCCGATGGCCACAAGCACGTTGTGGAGTTGGACTTCCCAGGAAAGGACTCAATCCGCTACTATAACCGTGTGCCGGTGGAGAAGCCTGTGAGTACCCTTTGTGACCCTCCCTGTCCTTGTGACCGCACTGCTCTGCCTGAGTGAGTGTCAGGGTGTGGAGGAGCTGCAGAGGGAGCTGCGGCCTGCCGGCTGGTCTGTCTAAGGCTGGCAGAGCCCCATCTTACAGTGGGCAACGTGCTCCCTGTGCATAAGGCGCCATAAGGGGGTAGCTTATCACAACAGATGTTTATTGTCTACTTCAGGAGGCTAGAAGTCCAACACTCAGTGGTGATGGCTTCTTTCTGGGGGCTCAGGGAGAATCCATTCCTTGCCTCTCACTACTTCTGGTGGTGGCCTTTGTTTTTTGTTTTTGTCTTTTTGAGACAAGGTCTTGCTATGCAGTTCAGGCTGGCCTTGAGCTCACTTTGTAGCCCAGGCTGGTCTCAAACTCGCAGTGATCCTCCTGCCTCAGCCTCCCAAGTGCTGGGATTACAGGTGTGCGCCACCACGCCCAGTGAGGTGGTATCCTTTGATCGTCAGTGTCCCTGGCTTTGGCTCATGCTCATCGCTGCTTCTGTCACATACAGCCTCTTCTCCCTGTGTCTCTGTGTTTCTTCTTTTTTCAGACACTCCTGTTGCGTTTAGGGCCTACCTTGTTCTACTGTGACCTTGTCTTAACAGTTACACCTACAACCACCCTATTTCTGTATAGAGTCTCATTCTGGGGTCTCAGGAAAGACATGAGTTTGGGGACCATGCTTACTCAGTGCACCTGGGAGAGGTCTTCCAGTCTGCTGGGACTCTGGCTATGTCCTGATACCCTCTTCTATAAGGAATGCAGATGGGAAGACTGGGGATTTAGCTCAGGGGCACAGCGCCTGCTTGGCAAGCGCAAGGTTGTGAGTTCGATTCCTGGTACCAGAAGAAAAACAAACAAACAAGAGAATGCAGATGGGTTGAGCCTGCTGGGGGGCTGTCATGCTGCCAGCCTGCCTCACCAACATTGGTGGGCTGAAGGTTGAGTAAAATGTTCAGGCTGAGGAAGACCTGGGGAGCTTCCTGCTCTGCAGATCAGTGCCAGTGAGCAGAATTTAGACTTCGGTGAGCACTGTTGCCCTTGGCAATGGCTGTTCTGTTGAGTGACAGTGTTGCCTCTCCAGGTGGACGTCACGTCCTACCGATGTTGAACAGAACCACGTGCGAGCTGCTCACGCCTCACGAGCAGCCCAGCCGTGGGATGTTTGGAAAGGTGTCCGGTGTGGACAGCCGAGCCACTCCAGGCCCTGCAGCGCGGCTCTGCTCTTCAGGGCGGTGAGCTTGAAGTCTGTCCTGTGGAGGAAGTTGCTAGGGAACAGAAACAGAAGGCACCAAAACAGGAAGGCGCAAGGGATGTGCACAGTGCAGCTGTGAGAAAGATGTTGGAGAGTAGGGTGTCCTGGCCCACGGGTGTAGTCCCGGCTGCCTGAGAGACGGGAGATCGTTCACAGCCAGTCGGGGCAACATGGCGAGACCCTCTCTCAAAAAAAAAAAGTCAGAAGAGAAACAACATATGATGAAACCGTAGGATGTAAAACTTTCAAAAGCATCACCAGTGTGAAAACTAACGTGGAGGAAAGAGCCATGAAGAGGAAAGGCTGAGGGAGCAGTGTCCTTAGAACCTGGCAGCACAGCCAGGCCCGGGCCACCCCGGGTCTGCGGCGCTCTCCTGGGAGGGGCTGTCGGATGTTCTTCACTCAGTGTCCTCGCCGGGAAGGGGACTGCCTCTGACTGACTGCAGTGAGGGAAGGTGTCTCGCCTCTTACCAGACTCCCGCTGTCCATGCAGGGGAGGTGCAGGCTGTTGTGTGCACACTGGAGAGAGCAGTGGAGGCCGCAGAGCTGATGCCCACTGAGCCAGCTTGGCTCCCTTAAGAGAATGGATGAGCAAAACCATGGGAGAGGCAGGCGCACCTGAGCAGTCTCCTCTCAGGCTTGGTCTGTGCAGGAGGAACTGAGCACCCTCTTCCGAAAGTGACCGCAGGAGAGAGATTGGACAGGGATCTGACGGCCTCCTGAGGCCCTGTGATGTCAGGTGAGACTGACTGGGTAGAAGCCTAGTTTTGGTGACCAAGCAGGGAGCTGGGGTTTGGCTGCCTGCTGAGTTCCCCCGGTGGATTGTGGAGATGCTGTGCGTTGGCAGTCAGTGACCACAGCAGGGCCAAGGCATGAGGGATGAATATGCCACCAGCCCCTGGTGAGCGGGCCTGGCCCTACACTGGGATTGCCTCCCTTCGAGTCCTGATGTGTCCTCCTTCCTGTGTTCATGAGGCCCCTGTCTGCATCTGCTAGCACTGGCCTCATGAGTCTTTTCTGCTTATGGCTCTGTGTTCAACTCTCCTCTCTTTCAGGTGTTCCGGAACTTGCAGCTGTTCATGGAGAACAAGGACCCTGGGGAAGACCTCTTTGACAAACTGACTGTAAGCCTGCTTTCATTTTCCAAGCATTTGTGGACAGCAGGGGCCAGGGGACGGAGTGGCAGTGCTGAGTCTAGCTCATCCTTGTCCCCAGCCAGGCCCTGGAGGTTTCTGTTCTGACCCAGCAGCTAAAGTTCCCTTGCCTGCCTCCTGCAGAAAGTCAGGCATGGCCTGGGGAGATCTTGTCTCCAGGGAAGCCATGTTGATGGCGGCCATCTCTTCCCACATGACCAGACTTCCAGCCTGAATAAGCACCTGCAGGACTTGATGGATGGGCTGACAGCCAAGGTGTTCCGTACCTACAACGCCTCCACTGTCCTCCAGGAGCAGCTGCGGGTGCTGACCAGAGGTGAGCAGGGCCCCAGCCCTTTCCTGAGTGAGCACAGGGGAGCTCATCCTTGTGCCCAGGCCGGGCCTCCAGGAGGCATGTGGGGATGGTGCGTAGCCTGTCTTGGGTGAATTGAGGGGCAGCTGGGTGTAGCTGCCTGCTAGGTGGAAGGTTACACGTGGCTCACATTGGAGAGAGAGCTGGAGGAGGCTGCCCTCTTGCTCAGCTCTGTCTTCCCATCCCTCATCACCTGCCTCCCCCAGGCCTGGCTTTATCTCTGGTCCCAGTTCTTGAAGGTTCCTATCAGGCCTTTGCACTGTCCTTCCGCACCACACGGCTGCCCCAGGGCCTGACCTCTGGGTCTCCAGCCCAGCCCCTCAGCCTCACCTCATTATGCTGCTGCCAGCCTAGGACCTTTGTCTCTACTCCACTGCTTAGATGCACAGTGGGGGCAAAATGTGCCTGATGTCTGCCCCTTCTCCCTCCACATCACAGCGGAGGTACCAAGGGCCATGCCTACCACCTGTGCCTGTTACCTGTCTCACCAGCTCCCAGGCCAGGCTTGCTGAGGAGATGTGCGGCCATTTGGATGTGGCATGAACTCAGAACTGTTGAATCCAAGCTGTCCCCACCATACCTCGAGCAGTGGTAGAGGATGACTAACGGGCCCCATGTGACCCTGGGGACATCCCCGGAGAGCCAGGGCAGGTTCCACTGGTGTATATATGAGGGAGTCCCAGGCAGAGGAAAACCCTTAGGGGGCCAGTTGGATCAGGGCATCCTGGCAGACCAGGCCCATGTCCAGAGGCGTCTGTAAACCCTGTGGAACTGGCTGCCCTGGTCTGGGGATGCCTAGACTTGGGAGGAAGAAGTGTGAGAACAAGTGGCCACTTGGACAGGTGACTTGAGGAGGGACCAAAGCACCCTGCGCCTCAGTTTCCTGATAGGAAAACAGAAGTAGTGTTGGTATTGCCAGGTGAAGCCAGGTGCTAGGTGCACTGGTAATAGGCTTCGGTGCTGGGTTTTTTTTTTTGGTACCGGGAGTTGAACTTACAGACTTGCCCTTGCCAGGCAGGCGCTTGTGCCGCTGAGCTATATCCCCGGCCCCCTGGCTTCTGTGCTGTTATGGGGCTCCCCAAGGGAGGACCCAGACTGCACTGCACAGATGGATGCCTAGCTTTTCCCTTCCTTGGAGCCCTCTCTGCTGCCAGGCTGTAGACCACCCTAGAGATTGGGGTTGCCCAGGGGCTAGTCTGATCTGCTCCTCCTGCAGCTCTACCAGTAAGACAGAGCTGGGTCCCCCAGGAAGCTGGGTGCTGCTGGGTGCCTTCCCACCTCCCAAGTCTGCTCCTGAGGTTAAACCACTGGGTTCATGGGGCCACTTTAAATAGTTCACTGACCCTTGACCCTCCGTCTCTTCCCCACAAGAGGTCCTTGTGGAAGGGGCCTTAGTTTGCAAGGTGTTCAGAAAGGCTGAACACGTAGAGTGACAGTGGCTGCTGTTTTTACTTAGCTGAAGACAGTATAGCCGCCAAGATCTTAGCTTACAATCGAGCGAACCGGGCAGTGGCCATCCTCTGCAACCATCAGCGAGCAGTTCCCAAGACCTTTGAGAAGTCAATGCAGCATCTGCAGACAAAGGTGGGAGACTCCTGCCGGCCCCTGTCATCCTCCTCACCGTTGGTGGTGCGGATGAGCTGCCCACAATGGACACAGGAGCAATGGGACAGGCAGAAGTGCTTCAGCAAGCTGGCGTGGGATTGGGGCCTGGGATTGGGGCTGCCAGGGTCCTGGTCAGGAGCTGGCTGTTCCTGCCCAGAGAGCCACCACCTTGGTGCAAACTGGCTCGGCTGTCTTGGTGCTACCTCTGACCTTCCTGTCAGGATGTGGTCATCCTTCATCCTACTCCAGGAAGGAAGGCTGAGAGGCAGGGCCTTAGGGAGTTGGGTCAGTTTGTGGCTGGAGGTGGAGCAAGTGACATCCTCACGCCTGAGAGGCCTTTTGGCTTCACTGTACCCCTGGCCACAGACAAGGTCAGGGCTGGCACTACAGGGCCCTTCTCAGGCTGCTCTCTGCTGGTGGCACTGTTTGACTCACAGCTGACGGCATTCCCTAGGTAGGGCTGGGGAGGACAGGAGTAGCCCTGCTTAGCCTCCTGTTTCTTTGCAGATCCAAGCAAAGAAGACCCAGGTAGCTGAGGCCCAAGGCGAGCTGAGGAAGGCCGAGGTTCAGTACAGAATCAAAGGGGATGGCAAGTCCAAAAGGTGTGTGTGGGCCTACTTCCTTGAGATCCCAAGGGCCAGCCTGTCCATCCTGAATGTGCTTGGCCTTGGCATTGAGCTTTCCTACCTGGACAATCTGTTTTCCTAATCAACTGTCACTTCCTTCCTTCCTTCCTTCCTTTTTCTTTCTTTCTTTCTTTCTTTCTTTCTTTCTTTCTTTCTTTCTTTCTTTCTTTCTTTCTTTCTTTCTTTCTTTCTT